CTCCCACCTATCCCCTCCTCCCACCTCAAGCCCCACCCCCATCTCCTACCTACTAACCTCATCCCGCCACCTTGACCTGTCCGTCCTCCCTGGACTGACCTATCTCCTCCCTACCTCCCCACCTACTCTCACGTTTAATGGCTCCATCCCCGCCTCTTTGACCTATGTGTCTCCTCTCCACCTATCTGCTCCTCTATCCATCTTCTATCCGCCTCCCCCTCTCTCCCTATTTATTTCAGAACCCCCTTCCCCTCCCCCATTTCTGAAGAAGGGTCTAGGCCCAAAACGTCAGCCTTCCTGCTCCTCTGATGCTGCTTGGCCTGCTGTGTTCATCCAGCTCTACACCTTGTTATCTCAGATTCTCCAGCATCTGCAGTTCCTACTATCTCTTTCCACTGCTGCTCTCTGTTTTCTATGACCAAGCCAGTTTTGTATCCAACTATCTAGCTCACCTTGGATCCCATGAGACTCTACCTTTTGTACCAGCCTGCCATGAGGTACCTTATCAAGTGCCTTACTAAAGTCCATGTAAACAACATCCACTGCCCTTCCCTCAATCATTGTTGTCTCCTCCTCAAAAAACCTCAATCAAGTTGGCAAGACATGACCCATGCTGCCTATCACTAACAAGTCCTTTCATTTCCAAATGTGAATAAATCCTGTCTCTCAGTATCTTCTCCAACAGCTTCTGCACCACTGATGTCAGGCTCACCAGCCTGTAAGTATCTGGATTATCTCTGTTTCCCTTCTTAAAAAACGGGAACAACATTGGCCATTCTCCAGTTCTCTGGAACCTTGCCTGAGGCCAAAGAGGATGCAAAGATATCTGTTAAGGCCCCAATTTCCCTAACCTCAACATCCCTCACAGACCTCTTTTTGGTGAATGCCGGTGTAAAGTACTCATTAAGGATCTCACCCATTTCCTCTGGCTCCACAAATAACAACCCTCTTTTAACCATTAATGGGCCTACTCTTTCCCTAGCTACTCTCTTGCTCCTAATATAAGTATAAAATGCCTTGGGATTCTCCTTAACCCAACTGGCCAAGGATATTTCATAGACCATTTTAGCCCTCCTAACTCGCCATTTGAGCTCCTTCCTATTTTCTTTGTATTCTTCAAGGACTTTAACTGATTTCAGTTGCCTAGACCTTAGGCATGCTTCCGCTTTTTATGACTAAGCTGATAATTTCCCCTGTCATCCAAGGTTCCCGAATTTGCCATTCCTGTCCTTCGTTTTCACAAGAACATGCCTGTCCTGCACGCTAATCAACTGATCCTTAAAAGACTTCCTCCAATATCCTGGCAGGGAGGTTTGATAGTGCCACTCGGGAGGGTAAGATGAAGGTTTTAGAGAGGGTGATGAAAAGACTTCTGAAAATGACTTTGAGGTGAGAGACTTCAATTGTATGCATAA